CCTTTAAATTACCGACGAGTACCTAAACTGCTGCTACAAATTTTTGTACCGCGGTGGTTGGGTAATTATAGGGCAATTTATAATTTGTAACTGTATGTCTAGAGTATATTTTAATACCTAGTTGAGAGGATACATAATTAGTTAAAATCATCTAGGCATGAGTCCCACATTTGCAGCAATAAAAATAACACGCCAAAATTTAGCGCGAATTAACCGAATTGCCGAACAAAATCGTCCCCCCACGAATGCAGCTGCACCGCCAAGGTCAGTGGCATTGTGCATCGGTGAGTGCATTGCCCAAAGACTGCATGCTCATGCTGCGAAAAATACTCTCACACACACATAAACCGCGCAAATGCAGTGACTATGTGTGTATGCACGCGAACCGCGCGCAAAAAGTATCCAAATTGAACGTCAAAGAGTAATACTTTAATTACACCCAAGTGGCAGTTGGTCATGGCGTGTGCTTTTTAGTTTAATATTTACAATGGAAAATTGATTAAATAGCGGTGCTTATAACAATTATAATTGGAAATTACATTTAAACTCATTCAATTTGGATACTTTTTGTGCGCGATATTAATATGATACAACGAAAAATTAACCGAATAAGTAGTGCTTCTAACGTTCAGAGATGAAAATTATATTTTGATAGCGTGTTTTTTTTCCTTTCACGATGACTTATAACGGAAAATTGATAGAATAGAGAGTACTTCGTCCTACTTCGAGTTGAAAATTACCCAAATAATGTGGTTTACCTACAAAGGCACTTTTTAACTTTGAAACGTCACTTAATTTTTTTACGCGGCCGGGTGCATAATTGTTTGTTTCAGTAGGTATATAGATATTGACTAGAAAAGTTCTACTTTAATAAATGTGCAAACTAAAACTGTACAGTTGTGTAAAGAGCAGTTCCAAATGTTATTAGACCGAACTTTTGTCAGTGACATTATTAACTAGTGCTTTCAGGTCATTCAAACATCAATGCGTTGTATGATTTAATTAAGTAGTTAGGTATCAGTCAGCATTTAACATTTTCTTAAAGACTTCAATTTTTATAGTTAATTATTGTTGTAATAGTTCAAAATTAAATAGTATTTAATTACAGTTGAAAAAGTACCTAATAGGTACCTAGTGTATTGTTACTTTCGCATGAATGACATAATATATGTTTATAAATTAAATACAATGAATACCTGCAGAAGTCTCTATGAATGATATTTATAGAGTTCTATTGTTACAGATAAATGACAGGTAGTCATATATCTATAATATAAATAAATTCGCTAATAGTTTTTACTTACTTAAGTAGTTACTACCTATAGTTAAAATTGCAAATTATTTATATCTGCTGTAAAAAATTTAGTTATCTAAGTGTAAGGCACTGATATTACAGAATAAGATACCTTTGCCAATCCTCCAGAATGACAACATAGGAGCGGTATAATGAGCGTCACTTGATAACGTCATGTGACGTAACGTCATACGTCACCACTTACCATCAGGCGGTGTTGTTTGCCATTCCAATTATTTAGACAAATCATATCGTGCCATAAGCAAAAATAATAAAGGTACCAACTCTTATATATTTCTTTTTTGAACCTCTGTTTTGTAACATTATAATATGTAAATATACTTATGTGACCTAACGCATTTAAAATGAACCAACCATTCAAATAAAACCCTACAAGCGTAACAAACTCTAATCTAAACATTTTTTATTACCTGCCGAACTACCCAATCCGGTCTCACTCCCTACTCTTTGACAGAAAGCGAACAAAAAACATGAGCCAGTCAAAGTACCAAATTGCACACACACATGCACACTATATAAGTCAAGAGCAAGAGAGTAAGGTCATGGTTACTCTTTTGGCATGTAGGTATGTCGATTCGGCCGTTTTCGTTTTCGTTCGTTGCGCCCGCGCACGATTTGTGATTTATTCCTTTTTTAAAAGCGTCGATATTTGATGGTTTCTTTTTGATTTAAAGTTAAAGGTAGTACATAGGTAGTCGTGAAACCTTTACGAAACATAAGAATGGTTGTTCATGAATGTATAAAGGTAAATAATAATATAATAATACCTGTAGTACTTAGTGATAATTTATTTAATGAGTAATATTGCTTGTTTAAAAGTTTCTTTAATGATAGATAAATATTGAAGTTTTTAATCTTTCTTTGAAACTACGTACGCATAGTGCCTATTACTACAAAAAATTTTGATAGAGAACACTTTTTAATTTTATTAAGTTAGAAATTATACGTTAAATACATCTTTTTTATGTATTGCTATTATTGGTAGGTAATAAGTAGCGTACTCTACCTGAACTACTGGGCAATCTACTTAATTACGTGAAGACTATATATCAATTTTATATAGGTATGTCAAATAAAATGGTGTAATATATACATATTCTTTAATGAAATCAACTATAATACTAACTTGTTTTGATTAGTCGATTTTGACTCTATCACGATATTCAGAGTTCAGATTCAGCCGAGCAACAATTACCTAAAAAGTTGTTTTGACTAAGTATTATTTGAAAAGAGCCTTTCAAACAATCGCTATTTACATGCAATGGACAGAAGTAGGTATTACCTATGTACCTATGTCACGAGAGATAACGAGAGGTAAGAGAGCATCACTATTATAAATAAATAGACCGCCAAATGAATCGTTTTCCCTTATGTAACGGAGCTCTAAAACAGAAATATAATAAATATGTACCTACATAACGAAAAGTTCGTCTTACCTTTCATTTAATTAATTTTATTACTTTTCTTGGGTTCGTGTGTATAAAATAGCAGGCAAAGGTGCACAAAAATTTACAGCATGGCGTAAAATATTAAAGAATTTTTTACTAATAATTTAAATTAACTTTTGACATGCAATATATTTAGGTAGAATTGATGATTATTCATTTTACTGTGTTTCTAGATATGTAATCATAGATCAATTAAAACTAGATTTTTTTAATATCTGTATAGCTGAGACAGCTATTGTGATTATTAAAAAATAATTTTATCAGTAAGAAGAAAATTAATATACAAAAACAACAACAGACATGGCTCTATGAACACAGATACTCTTTGCTTTTCCGACTGGATAAACAAAACAAAAAACGAATTAATCAATTCACCTATCCATATACCTAAATAGTACTAAAAAAGAAGAAGAAGAGCTTGCACAGTTTCACACCCTACATGGTGTGCTGCTTACAATTATGTATTACGTCTTCAGGTAATCTGTAAATCAGGTATGCTGTATTCAAGCTAATTTTCAAAATAATTTAATTAACCTTTATGCTATTAATTATCTCAAGTTAAGATTTAAATAAACAATTTAACTTCTCAGAATTTATTATAATACACAAAAATAATTTCATTGAAGCCAGAAATAATGACTAAAATTATGCCTGCTTCGAATTTAAATTACATTTCATTGCATTTTAATATTCCAAGAACGCCATTTTGGAATCGGCTTTTTAAATTTATTTTTAAATTCACGTCCTTGAGACCAAGTGGCCTGCACCTCGGGCAAAATGAAAAATGGTTCAAAAATCGTTCGTCTTAACCGAAATTGTTTATTACAATAACTCTGTATTATTTGTGGTTTCTGTTTATGCTATTGGGCCACTGTTCTTATTTTTTAAGTCATTCCTTCACTTTTTTGAAAAAGAGGTGACATTTGGTTGATGTACGTAAAATTATCAGTTGTTTTGTTATAGGTACCAAACACAATTATTATTTCTTTTAAGAATTCTGCGGTATTATTAGGTCGGATCAAACTTATGCTTACTATGTAGACATTATAATATAAGTATACCTACTATGAAGGTATAATAAGGTACACAGTAAGTAGAAATAATTTATTATATACGTAGGTGTCTATTAAGTAATCTAAGTTTAATGTAATCTAACAATATACGAAACAGATCAAGAAACAACCCAATAATATAGTTGACATTTACCTATCTACATACTTAGTATAAAAATTTGGTGCGTATTAATAAAATTAATTGAGGCCTTAGATTAATTAATTTATCTCTAGCTTTAATATGTAGGTTTCGTCTATCTAAATAGATAGACGAAATGACTTTTATAAACGTTTTTTATGTTTATTAGGACGGCCAGTGTATATCTATACCTACTGTTAGTATGACACACCTTTATAAATTCAAGCTTTACCCGTGTTGATTGTATGAAATACATTAATTTGAAATCAATCAATAAATGGTCTGCAAAAAATGTAGGATAACGAGTTCCCCCAACTTTACTTTTTTAAAAACACATAGGTAGCATAGCGTATTCCGTGCTCGATACACTATGTTCATAGATATAATTTGCAAAAAGCTCTTTTCAGCTGTATAGTCTTTAATAAACGAACCATTAGAAAGGCACACTTTTGCATTTACAATATTAATAGGTATGGATTAACCTACTTTATATACTGGATAGATTTATTCAGAAACAGTTGAGACACTGTTTACTTGTTTTAGGCATTTTACAAAGAATCGCGTTACGTACTCTTATGTATTTCTAAAAAGTGTAGTCATCTGTCTAGTCGAACTCTTGATAATTTAACACTTGCTAATGAGAATCTTTTGAATTTTTAATATTTTTCGGTACCCTGAAAATTATTCGATACGTTGAATAATACGTATACAATAGTATACATATACGTAAATATAGTCTAGAGAGGATGTTTGATACTTACATAAGTTGACTTAAATACCTAATTGCTTATACGTCATACGAAACATATCGATTTCTCCCAGTACTCACGTTATAAAGTGATTTCAATGTTTTTTGTAATATCTAGGTATAAATCTCCATGTTTGTTGTAGGTATATATTTTTTTATGATTTATAATCTTGTTCTGAATAAGTTAGTTTTAGGGGATTAGTGGAATAAGTAAGTAGTAAGTAGGTATATAATTTGTTATTATGTTATATATATAAAATTCCTAATTCGTAGAGATATTAGAAAATAAAACAAAAACTTCAACAAATGAAAGAAATTTATTGTATACAGGTTTTAAATATCCTTGCACATTCTTACACCTGCCTCACCAGCCACATCATTAAGATATTTAACGTAAGATATAAAGATCTTATAGATAAAGGACATTACATATGAAAAAAAATCACTTCAAATAATTTTAAAGTTACAGTATATGTAAGAAACAGTTTTCATTTTTACAAACATTGTCTACAATTCCACGATTTCAAATCAACTTTTTATGTCGCCTAGCGACTGTTTTGGACGTTATTTTCAACTTTTCATTAAAAAGTCAGTCGAAACGCTAAGCTTTTCAAAATTTCCATCTCTAAAAATTTGACTAGATTTAATATAACAGCGGTTTGCCAATCGCGTTTTCAGCCAATCCAAATAGTTTTACAAAACATTCTGTTTTATCTGAGCAACGTAGCTATAGAACAACAATAAATCTATGAACATCACTTTTTACTGAGGAAGTGAAAAATATATAATAATAATAATTATAATTCATTAATAAAAAATAATTATCAATGAGTTGCTAATATTAAAGCAAAACCTTCTATGTAATTATTTGTAATGAAAGTTAAACAATAATAATTATAAAAACTAAAGGAACAAAATAACAAAAATAATAGAGGCGAGTGGATAAGGTAAATATTGAAAAAAATATTTCATTAAAACTTGTACTCAATAAGTAAATAACAATATTATAATTTGATCTTGTTAGCTCCTTTAGTCGTATATATTAAAAAAACGTTAGCCATCATTTAGGAAATAACAGTGTCTATGATACATTGGTCCATACCAGATTAAAAATTTTGTTTCCAATAACGTATTCATTTCAGTTAAGTAATTTCATCCATATAAAGTCGCAAAGAAACCATCTCAAGAGAAAAATGAACCTCAGCATTGTGATGTAATATGTTTAAAAGCGTCACAATTTTAATAAATATCGTGAAATAATATAAGATGAATTTACACTATGCCTTTTTTTATTAAGATAACATTATATTTAATATGTCTAAAATTAAATGCTTCATGTTGTACATATTTTTGTTTTTTACAAAAAACGAACACCCAAGAACTTTGTCTTGTATCAAGACTTCAAAAACCATTGTCTTCATATTCTATTCCACGATAATTCTAAATGGTCAATAATAATAAGTCAATTATTGTAATTATAGTACAATAATGATTACTTTTTAAATTAATATTCTAGAAATACATACAGTTGTAAAGGAAAACAAACAGTGACAATAAAGGCGAAACTTACATTTAGGTATACAGACATTTGTAGACGTTTTCTCGTATTAGAAAACAGCTTCGTAGGTACAGTCAAATTCAGAAATAGATTATCAATTTGACGTTTGTTGCACTCAGTTTAACTGGATACTTGAGCGAGTCAAGGGGAATGATATAAAAGTGAACGTCACGCGACACCAAATTAAAAATTACTGAATTGGACTGTCCTGAAAAGTATAAAGCCACATAAATTAACAACTTTTTTTCATTTATTAAAGATTATATAAGATCTAGCAATGTCTTTCATAACGCCGCGAGATCCAAACGCATGAAAACAGAAATCAAATTCAGTGCATGAGCATAGAATTCAATTTTGTTTCATTGTAATTTCTGGTTTAGAAATCAAATTCTACGGTTGTCCATTCAATTTGACTACTGAATCAGATAAAACTAATTACTTAGTAGGTATACCTAGATACTTTTTTAATCAGGCACCAGACATTTAATAAACTAATTCTATATTGAATATTTTTTTTAATACAATAATTGCTAATTAAAAATTTGTTTCCATCAACAAATAACATGAAATTATAAATCAACTGATATCGTGAAATTAAAAAGTACTATATATAGTATAAGGCGATATTTTTTTCTGAATAGGAAAGGAAACATTAAAATACACTCTTAAAAATGAAAATGAAATTAGGTACCTACGTTTACAACATCTCGCGGAATCCTAATTTGTTATAGGTTTATTAAAAATGCAACTTCCCTTCATTGTCTTTTTTATTCCTGGACCAGTCGAGGACCGCTCAAGACTCTAACCTAACCCTTACGCAGATTTTATTACATTTAAGAAAAAATTAACAAAATATTAAAGAATCACTACTTGCTACCTATTAATTGAAAATTACACTATTATAATAAACTAAAATTCTTAAACTAGGTGGAAAAATGATTGAACAATATACAATAAAAATGATTCACTAATAAACCAGTGATCTCTTTTAGACAAAATGTGTTTAAAGTGGTTAGTTAGACACATATGTATTTAACGGGTACATTTGTCACTTTTCTCACATTTAGAGCAATACATAAGATTATGAGCACGTTTAATAATGATATAGTTTATCAAACAACATACATAGCTATTTGAAATGAGGTATTTGTAATAAAGACATTGAAAATTATGTTGTTAACTTTTATGATTACCTAAATTCCAATACTCATCTATTGTCTAATGGTCCTTAAAATGACCAACTGTCCAGAAAAATAGGCTTTGGATTCAGCTTTTAAAGACGTGTAGGTTTCATTTTACGGTTTCACTGTAAGTTGGTCATTTTAACTGTGAGAGATCACTGTCAATAACATTTTAAGTGTTAAGGCGGCGTATACCATTTGTACAGATACAGACCGGCCCAGTACTGTGAGCACTCGCCTATTTTTCTACTACTTATCAGTCGCAACTCTCTTTAAATCCAGGAGTAGAACCCCAAACACTTTGCACAAAAACAATGACATGTATAACATCTCAATATAATATTATAATATACCTATAGTGTTACTAAAATAAAGCCACTTAAAATTAACTAACGTTACAAAATAAGATTAAACAACATAATTTGTTCCCGATGTCAAAAAATATTTTTATATAATAATAAAAAAAAAAACTAATAACATTCTAAACGGAATGTTCATTAATATCTAAGTTCTCTTTGCAAATTGTCCCATCCTAATATTTCTGTACAAACTTACACAAAATAACCATTTCTTTAAACTATCAACAAACGTCAGGCGTTACACACAAATTTGTGTACGTATTTTATAAAATAAAATTGTTCGATCTGTAATTTTGTTTAACACAATTGGAAATGCGGCCTGGTGTGGATTACAATAGTGAACACGAGATTAAATAAATCTCAATAAAACTGTTTCATGTAAAAAAAATACATCGCACAGACGATTAAATGCACGTAACATTAATATAAGATATTTTTATATTAAATGCTAAAAAGACATCGAAAATTATTTATAGAGAAACAATAAGTGAAACACATGCTATCGACTAGTTCAAAATTTGGAATATAAAAATTTTAGTTTCTTTTTTTTATATAAAGAGAACGCATTCGACATCTCGGCGTTTGGGATATGTATCATGATTTGGATATAGGTAGATATAATAAATTCTCACGAATAAAATCAACAAAGTATTTAAATTTTCTCTCAGTCCGTGGATTTTAAAAACACGTCGAAATGTCGATTCCCATCTCTTAGATACTATTTTGCACATTTCATGGTCTCTGACGAAAATGACATTATTATTTAGGTATAACTTGTATATAATATGTGTATAATTTAATTACATACATATACAAAGATTTCTTAATTTCCATGAGGCGCACATGTACACATAACTTACAATATCTATCGTACGATAATTTTATATCCAAATAGTTTTCACCTAAATTTATCTTGGGAGAGCGTATACATTTTTTTTCATCTCGTACTTCAATTATATATACTTTTGATTGAACACCAAAAAATTTCACAAATTTGAAGATATCAATTACTTTATATTTTTTTTAGGATTTTTGGGATAATACCTATATTTTTTTTAAAGTTGACAAGAATATAATAATGATTATTCACACTTTTGTATAGTCGATAAAACATTTAAAACTTGGACCTTGAAAAATAAGAATATATCTTCTTAGGATACGATAATACAGTACATAAAATATATATAAGTTCACTAAATGTATAACGTACGTGTATGTATAGTGGTGGGGATGGGGGCTTCCCCGTAGGTCTTGAAACAAACCGCACTCGCATCGTAATACCTAAATATCACATTCAGTAATATGGAAACCCACGTATTAGCTTAGACACAGTTTACATTACTATTTTATAGTAGAAAATAATAATTGCACATAATACCTTACCGCGGCGCGAGCGGTCGCGGGCCCGGGATGCGGCGACCCCATCCACGCCTAGCCTGCACCTTCCGTCGTTAATCTCGCGTTAGAAAGAGACGACACAACAGCCGCACTCTACACGCAATTAGCGCTAATAATTTCATTCAATATATTACCTATCTAATTGTAAAAACACCGCACAAAATCTGCAATAGTTCACTTAAAAATCGATAACATTTACACTCGCATAGCTAGCTTTATATTTAATTTGTTACATTGTTTTCTATATACTTATAATTATTTAAATATTTAATTTTTTTAACGTTTAACTTTTGGTTGTCTTTTACTTAAAACAAGATCAAAAATTGAGGCTCTTGTATTTTTCCGGAAATTTTGTACAACCTTATCGTCGCTTTGGCATACGGTGTTACAAGTTGCTACATATGTCCATTAGTAGATATTATTAGCGTTCCGTTATAAGATTATTAGGTACACCACAATATGCGCTTAACAAAAAACTTACGACAAATACCATAAAGCAAATAAACACCGCTGCCACGAACGACCACGTTCGAAGAATCTAGTGTAGATCAGGGGCTTTAACTACTGTATTGTGATATTGCATAAGTAAAGCTGTGGTACATTGAACTGGTTGTGACTTTTAGGTAACTATTGTGATATTTGGTGATTTATAGTGTCGACGTGAGTTATATAAATCGTGGGAATGATCTGGGTTGATCTGAAGCGGAAAGGAAAATGAAAATACTTCCATAAATAACCTGCGTAGTGAAATATAAACGTCTAAATGCGTAACGTATCAAACCCAGTCAATCTGTAAAATATGAAAGAAGCATGTAACTAACGTTATTGTCACTACAACAGTATACACAAATAACGCATGAGTTTTGTATGAAGAACCCTTAAATGTCCTATTGCACACTAAAAAGTCGTCATAGTTCTGCCCCGGCGCGTGCGCATGCGGGCCTCGCCCGCCGCGGCAACGGCTGACGTACAGGCCCGCTCCCAACGGAATGTACTTTACATAATATTATCACAAGACTGAGGAGATCGGAGCGTCTCGACGCGGATCAAAACGTGGGCGATAAGAGGCTAACACTAGAGTCACGTCACTGGAAAAGATGGTGCGGGAAGGCCCGCAGGCAGCACTAGGCGCGATCGGGCGGCGCGGCCGGCGGCGGCGGCGAGGGCGCGGCGGGCGGCGGCGGCGACGGGCCTCCGTTGCGAGGTTTCTGCAGCTTGTCGGCGCGCAGCCGCTGCACCGCCTCGCGCATCTCGGCCGCCAGCTGCCGGTCCGAGCTGTCGACGCGCGCGCGCCGCGCCGGCGGCCCGTCCTCCGACAGCGGCGAGCCGGCCAGCCGCCGCAGCAAGCTCGGCGCGTCGCCCGACGAAACCATCGGCGGCCTCGGCTCGGCCGTCAACCGCTGCAGCAGAGCCGCACCCGGCCGCTCTAGGCTCGATCGGATGATCCCCTCCAAGAATGATCCGTTGGCGGGCGGAGGTGCTTCTTCGCGTAATCGCCGCATCATGTGCGAAGCGTATAAGTCGGTCGCGGGCGGTGGTGCAAATCCAGGATTAGGCCAAAACGGGTAGCCGGTCGGATAACCTGGAGTCTCCGGGCCGTTCATCCCGTTAGTGAAAGATTTTGTTGGTGGCTTAGGAGGTGGCGGTTTCGGTGGCTGCGGTTTTATATCTTGCGGTGGTTTCGGTTCGCGTTTTCTTGGCCGCATTAGATGCCGCTCTTTGACTTTGTATTCCAAAGTGGAATGTGGTACACCATAATAGGAGCCGGCCCTGTGTACAGACATCTCGCCGCGCTGTACCGCTTTGACAGCCTCGACTAGGCTGTCTCTATCGTAGTTTCTATATTTTCCTCTTTTTGGTCGCGTACCTTTACCTCCTGGAGCTGGTTGGCCGTTGTTATTCGTTGTAGCCCTGGAATTACTCGGCGTAGGGTAGTTCCTTTGATTCTCCTGTTGTGTTTTTATAACAGAAACATGTCGTTCGGGTGCTCTCATGAACGGCATATCCGTTTGAGGAGGTCTGTCAGGAAGTTGTTGGAATTTCTGACTAATGCTTCTCACTATAACGTCGTTTATTGACGTGAATAAATGCTGATTTGCTGGAGGGTCAGCAAAGAAAGTGGGGAGATGTGGCTGCGGGTTGATGGGTGGTTGTGGTGGTGGAATAATAGGTGTGATGGGTGTGACAGGAGTCGTTGCGGGTGTGGCCGGAGAGGGACTCTTCTCATCGGGCCGGTAATTTGGTATTTTTAGAATGACAGGAGGAGATTCAGGTCTCTCGGAATCACTGTCGGGCTCGGAGTCATGTTGATCGACGTTGAGTCCGTACTTGTTGACTTTGTTGCGGAGTGTGGAGCGTGGGATGCCATAGACGGCGGCTGCGCGCCGTGTGCCCAGCCGGCCTGACTGGATGTCCCGGATGGCTGATTGAAGCTCGTCATCAGTGTAAGTTCGTCTGTTTATGCTATTACTTGCATTTTCTATTACTGCTCGTTTCAGCCTGAAACAAGTATGAATTGGTTAATACTTAAAGAAAAAGATTTTCTGCAAATTAATACTAATATTATTGAAAGATTTTTGTCGAAGTTTTAAATATATTTCTTCACATGGTAGGATTTAAGAACAGTTTTTTAATACTCTCTTTATTTTTGGTACAACATAATTGAATATATCTACATAAAATCTAATCATCCAGGAACTTTTAGCAAAAATTTTAAGAACAAGATTGTTTATAAGAGTTCAGTTTCCAATAGGTTGTCAATCTTTTCAATATTTCCCTGGTGGTTTCGGCTTCATAAAAAATCGTCATATAGGGGTGAATTGTAAATTTGTGTTATCGGAGTTAACTCAATAGGTCCCACCCAACAAACATGATATCAACTGGTCAACAACCCATAATCATTTGCCAACAAAATCCAACATTTCGAAACCGTATTAATGCCAGATAAGCAACGCGAAATATTTGCTTTGCCTTGCGATAACGGACTGCTATGAATGCATCTTTATCTTTCCCTTCTACCTTTTATTTTCCGAAACACAACCAACCGAATTTCTACTTCAGTCCATAACGTTAAAGCTAAGAATCGCCTGACGAACTTTTACGTCTTCAGTTTCATCTCGGTCTAGCTTTCTTATTTTTCGATATAATTCGCGTAGCATTTTGCACTTTATAATACTCATTATAGATTGCATTTCGGTTTGATGCAACTCTCGTGTGTGCCGAGGATGCAAGGTCGATGCACTGAGACTATCGTAGCATTTTTATTTGTTTTGGCGAGTCATGCGACCCAGATCGCGGACCCAACGAATGAATTTATTCAGTTATCGATTGAGTATTGTGTATAATATCGATGTTAAATCGAGATATCGGTATCTATAAACATTTCTTGTGCAATGGAGCGTATCGATTTTGTGACTATTATTACGTTTGATAAGTTTTATATTTTTAAAACAGACAAGTTCTTGTAGTTTTTATACTGCTATGATTTGTTAGAACATTCCTATGGCTTGAAAAGTATATAATTAAGTATACTATCTATACATAACATCATAACAGTATTTTGTGGCTATATCGAATGGTTAGTAAGGATAGCAAGTACAAGTGCATAGAACTTTAGTCCGTATTTTTTGCAAGATCATTTGGGCCACGTTATTCTGTTAATTTTGTTAAGATGTTAGTTGTTGTTTATTGTCATATGTGATGATAATAGCTCTCTTTATTTTATACAGTAGGAGTGTAGAGTAGCTATCTATCCTGTATCTATGTACAATCAACGAATGGCCTAAACTATCGTGACCTAAATGTCTTGAAATTTTTCACTAAATTAAAAAAAATATCAAATTTCTCATACATTTGTAGTAAAGGTATGCTTGTCATAAAAAAAACCATCAAAATTAGAACTTCATCTATATCATTTATGTTATCATGCAATCGATGGGTTTATTCCTGTATTGGTCGCATACTTTACCACGATTTCTTATTTTTTTTATAGGGCTAAAATTATTCATTATATTCAATATGTTTATAAGTACTTAAGCTAGAAATTATATATTAATATAAATAAATGTTTTATCTATAATGCATGTACATCGAAGAGGAAACCTAATGAAGTATAAATTCTATTTTAAGTGCAAAATTTCATCAGGCCAATGAATCAAAGTAAACGGCACTTTGCACACAGCCCGATAAACTTTTCTTTAGCAATGTTATTCGTCATAAAGTACTGGAGCATTGACACTGTACTCAGATATAGGTTCCTTGACTTTGGCGCATACATACGTACATATATACGTAGAAAATTATATTATTACTTATAGGCTTATCGAGGGCTACAAAGTTCGTTTGCATTTATAAAAAAATAATATTTTTTTTGCTTATAAATGGAATAGCAAACACGCTGATTAGTAAATGGTAGGTAATGGTAGTATAAAGCACCACAGATATCACGTCGTCATGTGAGAGTACCCCTTACGCGGTGCAGTTCCTGAGGACTATAGTATCCATTCCCTATGTCCCATTTCAAACCGAATGACAGCTTACTAATTATGTAGTGTAGTGGTAGAAATAGAAGACTACAATCGAACCCAAGCATACGCGTTTGTAAATACTTAGGTAGAAAATCTTCTAGCCCTTCCTAGATAGGTATAAGTGTTTTGAAGGCCTCGGTGGTCGAGGTTTCAGTTCGATTCCTTGCACGGCACAAACTTTTGTATTCATGAGTATGGTTGTTTGCATCGGTCAGGGTGTTTTCTATGTATAATATCAGTATCAGTTAGCTAAAACCCAAAACACAAGCTTTAGCTAGCTTAACTTGGGTCTAGATGGCGCTGTGTGAATTGTCTTGAGATTATTTATATTATAGTGTTGACAAGTACATAAATATTAATATGAAATACATTTTTGTGCGCTTGTTCAGACTATGCAAGTAGTTTTATTACGTCTTTGTTTATTACAATTTATTAAAAAAATAATTACACGATAAGAGTTTAACACCCGTTGCACTTCCATGTAATTTAGTTTGTTTTTCTACTTGTCTTTGTTATGTTTATACAAGGTTTGTATTAATTAATTAAATATGCATGCAGGAAAATGTACATTTTCATTAGCATTTTTACGACTAAAATACCTATTAATTTGATTAGGTAATATGATTACAGGACAAACAAGAAGTTACGTAGATAACTATTACTGATATGAAATTTAAGTTTTATGTAAATTTTATAATATAATCATTACCATGGCAAAGTGTCTTGAGTACAAAAAATTAAGTATATGTACGGTACATATGTACCTAAATATCTACCTAAGTACCTAATACACATACACACACTAATAATTAAAATAGGTTCAGCTCTCCTGCAATTACAGCTCCTTAGGGAATAACATCGGAAAGCTATTACAGATAATTGTAATTTGTATATTCTACATATTTATATAAAATATATATATCATTTCTAGGCTCCTATTTAAAATAATGGATTTTTCATTCAAATAATTTTGAGGAGATAATTTCTCCACATGGTTGACAGACAGATATTTGTTTCTCACTAATATAATTTGTCCGTTGAGTTTCTGTATCAACAACCCACAAACTTTCGTACAAAGTTTGACTACTCTTTTTACTCCATTTCAATACGAATTTGCCGTTGTATAATTACATGTTACTAAATGATGATGTTAATAAATCATTCTTATTGCAATATATATTACGTTTGTTGTTACATTCGACTGTATTTACTATTTTTTAGATAAAAGACACGTTATGTCCGTCGTAGTGGTACAATCTATCTTCACGTCAAATTTAATTAAGAGCCGTTCTACTGTTTAGTTGTTAAAGGGTAACAAAGAGACATCTCTCGCATTTCAAGGGTAGATAAAATACAGAGTTAAATTCCTTCGAAACTATAAATCTTACTTTACGTTACAACTGTTAGACAGTTGACAACTGAGGTGGATGGCTCAATAATTAGAAAGCCATCAGAAATCAAACATTGAAGAATCAGCTATCATGAATATTAGTAGATATATTATCATATTAGAATGTAAAATTTAATATTGTGACAAAAAAGTACTTTTACAAAAACGTTTAAGTATGTGATCCGAGTTCCCATCTACATAATTATATTTTAGTATCTAAAATTACTGTTATAAAAGCGTGAGAGACGTCTTATTTTCTGCTTGACTTAGCGCCATTTCTAACTTCTAGGGAATTTTGAAGTATTTTGTATCGACTATTACCATTACCGATTGCGTGGGAGAATGAATGTCTGAGAAACCTTATTTAATGGGAAACGGTGTATTACAAGTATACAGTCTGATTGTGAACCATTTTATTTTTTTCTTATCAACTCTACCTACTTGGCAAAATACGGTATCCATCATGGCATCAATTGTCAAAAGTTCGTCGACCCGTCTCAATTGTTTAAAGTTTCGTTTTCATGTTTTAATGGGTGCATTCACACTGCTATTGTTTTTGTAACCCGACTACCTCGTCTAATAGGAAGTTGGATTGTATGAACGCACCCGTTTCTAATGTTCGATGGGTTATAGCCAATACGACCACTACAGGTGACCATGGAAAATTGTTAATACACATTTTACATTTCCTCATTTTCATATTTTAGGTACATAAATTCTGTGCAGATGATTTAATACCGAGTATGACAGTTGAAGTAGGTATATGTATGTAAATTAATATTATAAATATATATATAAAGTTTGCGAATTTAGAAGTCTGAGGTAATATTTCTATCACGGGAAGGCACAACGAAAAATGCAGCAAAAACGGGAAAACGTGATACACAAAGTTGCTCGACTCGGTTACCTATGAAATGACTGAGATAGGCCAATGTTACTGGGTATGTATTAACTACACTAATTAGGCTAGGTAATTGCCTAACAAAGATTAGTCTGCAATACAAACCCGGTTCTATTAGTAGAGGATTACTGCATATTAGTACAAGGTAATGAGCTTATTAGTACAATACAACCACAGAGTACACGTATTCGTTATACGTAATAACTATTGTATGTCACGTTAATAGATAGACTTTGAAAAGTGCAAAAGTTGTGTTTCTAGCCAGTTCATCTAAACTATTTATATATATATAATACATAAACACTTAATCTTCCAGTTCTAATTTCTTCTTGAAATTTAAAAAATATAAATTTTCACCTACTACCTTATATTGTATTTATTATATTTGAAATCTTGGTTAATTTTAATTATTATTTTGCTTTTATGTTAATGTATTGACATCCATAAAATGGTTATACGGGGCCTGGCCAAAATCGATTTACTGGAAACTTAAACTTAATTTAAGTCAAATTGAAATGTAAATGGTTAACATAATACGAGACCGGACTCTACGTCTATGGAGTAAAGAGAAAGAATAAAAAAAATATTCACCTATTATCCACGATCTTGGAGTCAGGAGGAGGTGTGCCGCTAGTGCTGGATGTAGATTTAGCGCTAAGATCGAGAGGCTGCTCCAGTAGAGTTGGAGATGACGACGTCGGCGCCTTATCTCCCCCTTCAGGCGGCCTGGGGAGAGTAAACAATTAAAATAAAATTGTAAAATAATAAATAAAAATAAAAATACAACAATGAGTTCTTTTAAAATTGAAATAAATGACGATTATAATCTCAATCTCATAACAGGACAGACAGAGAAATTATAGGGAATACACCAATTTAATCAGTATTTATATATCTATTTTGAATACAGATGAGACTACCGGTACAAAATTTTAGTATTGTCCAGAACTCACGACTTTTTGGATCTATTCTGTATATATAGTAAACAACTTAGAATACGATGTTTTCTACTTGTTTTCTCAACTACTTCCTCATAACTGAAAAGTATTCATGCCAAAGTTTCGCAATTTCTAAATTCTGTTTTTAAAAAACTATTAAACAATTTTAATATTTCTGTATTATTACTTTAAAAGTGCTCTGAAGCGAACGGGAGCGTTCACATTCTCGTTAAACTATCACTGAAAATATGGATATTGATGGTGAAAAAGTATTTGGAAACTTTACAAACAAAATATGAAGTTGGTAGGGTTAAAATTACTCTACATTCATAAGTTGCGATTGCTTACTAAAAATATTATTGCGTTACACATTATTTAGTTTCTTGTACCTAAGCGTAGGAGCACTTTTTAAATAACCATCTCGACGTGTTAAAAATATGCAGAAGTTTTATACTTAAAATATTTTATTATCCTATAAGTATCTAAATATGAAAATGTCAACTTACTATTAAAAGAGATCACATTATAGAATCACGAACATGTATATATTTTATTTCAATATAGTACAATACAATACAATAAGCTATTTTAAAAAACCTGAGTAAATATATATATATATATATAGATATTTTTTGTTTTTCAACCGAAGTAACTACTATCACAACATTGGATCAATTAGGTATGTAGCTTAGAAGTACAAAACATATTTTTATTTATAATAATTCATAAACATTCATATTGAAATACAGCATGAAAAATACAATATTAGGGATTATTAATAACAGATAGTACCTATGTATATATTAATTACCTTGTCTGATATATAAAATCACAAAAACAGTCGTACAGTTTTATTAAGCCCATATCTAAGATATCAATCGTATATGTATCAATAAGAATATGAAATCGTATATGAAGCAAAATTTCGCATGCGTGTTAATACGAATCAATTTCTTGAATAATTACATCAATTCTATGCTAACATCACTTTTAATGATTATAATGAGGTCCATTCTCAACTGTATACTTATACTGTATATTTTGTATCTATAACTTGATTAAAACATAGTAGAGGCACTTGACGCATTTTTTCCGTATACAAAATTTTCATGCAACCTTCATCTGTGGTTACAGTTTATTTTTAGTGTTTATTTAATTATATTCATTAGTAAACTCGAGATAAAGATAGATATATTATACGTCAAATAAAATATGTATCGCATTATGTTATATTTTCAGTAAAATAGCGGAATGATCCTTGTCAATAAGAGTAGGTACACAAAACGTTGTTTTTTCAGCTTTTCTTGTAGATCATCTGTGAATAGTACTCTGTTGTACGACCTTAACCTCAGACTTTGCCGAATAAAAATTCCTTTTTTTATTAGTAACATGCCATTAATTCAGGTGTCTGTATGTATACATATCAACGTCATTCGATAATATTACTTGTTATGTATACGCTCCTACGTCTATATGTCTTTCTGTTGCAAATGGATTGTTCTTTTTTATACAGATCTACTCAATCAAGGGATATGATTATGGTCAAAAACTATTTATTTCATATGTTTCAACTATGCTTAGAAATTAGATAATAAATATAAGAACTCGTAATATTAAAAAAAAGCAATAAATAAGTACTTAAAAGAAGAACCCTTAAGACTTAAAAACACTACCTAAGTACATCATTTGTTTTATTTTAAAATCGATTTGCTTAATAGGATTAAAAATAGTTAACAGGTTGTTCTATGCAAATGAAAGAAACTTAAAAGAATAAAATAGTAGGTAGACCGAAAAAAGCTCTAAGCTGTTATTTATGCTAATTATAAAAGATTTTAGAAGCAATGTTTACCGTTATACAACTTAAAGCGATGGTGGAACGTTACGAAAGAGAATGAAAGTAGAATAAACGTGGTTGAATTGCACTGCCTTTTCTGGGAGTCTGCGTGCACAATACAGTGCGAAAGCGATTAGTGTTGGTTTGAAACCAAATTCTGCCGTAAAAAGAGCATCCGACGCTGGTTTGGGTATTTGAAATAAAGAGCAAATATAAGTATAATAATACAGATAGGTAATGAAAATAAAGATATCTGATAGTACCTACATTTTCCATCCGAAAAGAAGATGAAGAAAAAATAGGTAGGTAGTTAGATAAAGAACATATACTAAGTAGAATAGAGAAATACAGTTCATTTATTACCTTTATTATATTATATATCTGGAGAGAAAAAAACCTATATACAGATATAGAAGTAAATATAGTTTTATTTTTTTGTACAAGTACTGTAGTAATAGTACTATCGATAATAGTATATTAATTATGAATAGTTTAATAATGCAATTATTAGTTAAATTTTAAAACCTCAGTAAGATATAACTAGAAATATGAGTCGATAACAATATAAAAATAGTGAATTTATAATGAAAAATAATGTTGAAAATAAGGAAAAGTCAGGAGTCACTTGTAACTATAGACTCGTAATTTTACATTCACTGACTAGATAGTATGTGTTTATTTGCTTATGTATATTTAATGTCTGTTTCGGTGTTATTACTTTAACCTAGGTTAGGACGAACTGCACACCAATTGTTTTTGGAACGTACTTTTGTCCTTGCGTTTGTCACATGTGTTAAAATAATTAAAATTTGAGATATATTCGTCCCATATGTTTTTTGTAATAACAAATAAATACATTGTAGTCGATATTAATATTATACAACGTTAAACATCATTGTCTGAATTCTCATGGGATATATTAGATAAGACGAATTAAAAAAAATATATACTTGAATAATGTTGTACCAATGTGTTTTTATATAATTTTTTATAAACTATTTAATCTTCTAGTACAATTTATAATGTTCAGTTTACAAATCTCTGATTCTTTTATTAATAAATATTTACCTACTTAAATATTTTATAGCAAAATACTGTATTTATTTTAGTAAGTGTCGTATTTATAAAAGGAATGCGCTTCTTCTTAATCTTAGTAAAATGAGTGATCCGAAATAATCAGAAATGGCGCAGGCATTGGTAACGTACTACATTTATACCGGGGGAGGGGTACAGTAGTAATAAGTACCAGTAGACCCATTGCGAGTAATGTACCACATCAGGGCGGTTGCCCTAGTATAGTATAGTGGTTAATTCCTGTGATCTAACTGACCTGAATTCATGTTCATACTCTCATCCTTTACTAATGCCCTGCCAGCGTATACCTACCGTTTGTACAGACATGTTCACTATACTATTATAACCCTTTAAATATATATCTATACACTATGTATACTACTATACACAATACGATAATTTCCTTTCTGAAATTAATACCTCCGTTTAAATGTAAAATGTTACTCACAACACTTTATCAAACTTTTCTCATAATAAGCCGTTGAAAACTTACAGTTCTCAACGTTAACAACCAACAGATATTTGAAATGCTTTATGTTAAATGTCGATGTTCAAAGCCGCCATCTATGCTTTGCGCCATTTAATGAATAGGAAACATTGTCGAACTGTTCAGGTGACTGGCACTATGTGGACCATACGATATGAACACGATACGATGTTATAATTTCACTTATATAGAACTATATATTACTAACATTTATAACAGGGACACTACTGTATTAAACAATGTTTTGTGGCTCAACAATAAATGAGACAACATAAAAAAATGGCTCATGATAACACAAACCGTAACCAGAAGATCATATAAAGAAAAAAGAAACTGAGACAAAAAGAAAACAATTGTATTAAAAATACTAAAAACAACAAATAGTATAGTAAAATATGTATGTAGATATTGTCTATTCATTGTAGGAAATACACAACATAAATTATGTGTAAGATTAAAAAGGAAAATCAACTTCACTATAATATCGATGCGTAATGTAAACGTGCAAAATTTGAATAAAATTCTAAGTAACCAATGTCATTATAAAACTCTTAGAAAACATAGATACAAAACAAATCAACAAATAATCCATTTTTATAGAATAGACCAATTAGGCTTTAATTAGGCCAGGTATAAAACACATATATAGAACTAATTACATAATTAATAAACTAAGTCTATAACTACCTAATTACTATAAATCTACATGATTTATATACTACAATAAACAGCTACTATTAATTACCAATTTGTTAACACTATATCGATACACATTCTCGTTTTAATATCATATCTGTATCGTTCACAAATAAACTGCCAGAGAGACATTTATACGAAAAGCGTCTGCCCGCATTCATACTCGACCGTGGCGTCCTAACAAAAGCACCCGCGTGATGTTATTGTGGTATACGTCTTGAAGGTGACGCCTATAGAAATTATTCGATAGAATTTAGTTCATGTGGAAGCGATGTCTGTTTGTTGTTGTTTAAAATACGTATCTATACGAAAGTACACGAACGACGGCGGATTCTTTAAAGTAAAAATGGTTTGATCTATGCAAATAAATAAAATTGAAGTGTCTGTTTGCAATTTCAAATTAACAGCTTAAATTAAAATTAAGTAGGTATACACGGTACCTACATAGAAAAATAATTTCAAATATTTTGGTCTGCCTGTCTGTTTATTTTTGGTAAACCCTGAAATGGGTAGACCGTTTTTGACGGGACTTTCACTCACAGATAGTTATTATTTTATAAGGAGTAACTTAGGCCATTTTAGAAAGTACATTTATTATAAAAAAAGTTAAATTCCACGCGGTACAGATAGTCTTCTATATAGTGACTGTAATGATTTGTCATCATAATCAATGTAGTTTTTATTAAGTTAGGTAGAACAAAAATTTGTATTCATAAGTATGATTGTTTGTATCGGTCTGGGTGTTTTCTATAGTATATTATGTATGTATTTACAAAAATAATCTAAGTATTCATATCAGTTGTCTAGGACTCATAACACAAACTTTAGCTATCTTAACTTGGATCTAGATGGCGCTGTGTGAATTGTTCTGAGATTATTTATTTATTTGTAGTTAAGCGTCTACCTACTATAGTCATGGGCCTAAAACATTTTCCTATGATTTTTTCTCCAGGAAATTGACATCCACAAAGGATGTCCATTATCATTTGTGATTATAGAATATACATATGCAAATAAATCATTAAGTCCTCAATAAATTAAGTGACACATTAGATCCATTTGAGACCACGAAAGTATTTCCGTATATTGAGTTCATATTCTGCGCACGTTTCAAGGATTCATCTTTATTTACAGCAATGAGAATTGCCATATATTTCTTATACCTACTTTATAAAAAGAAATACATGTATTTTTGACGACCTCGGTGGTTTAGTGGTTTAGTAATCCGCCTTATCTACTTCCGATGGTCGCGGGTACGATTCCTCTCTCGGCACAAACATTTATATTAATGAGTATGATTGTTTATATTGGCCTGAGTGTTTTCTATGTACCACGTACATAAGTATTTACGAAAAAAAAATCTATTTACTTGTATCAGTTATCAAGTACCTATGACATAAGCTTTACCTAGCTTAACTTGGGTCTAGATGGCGCTGTGTGAATAGTCCTGAGATTATTATTACTGAGTTGAATATGAGAATTGTAAAGAAATTCATGCCTTATAAATAGATAGACTTCCAGATCTATGTTATTGTTTATTTAAAGGTAAGTAATCTTAATGTACTCAAAGAATATCTTTGTCACTGAAGGTGCTATTACTCTCCATATCAGTATACTTATATGGGGTTTTACTCATATATCTTATTAATAACATTAGTGATAGTTGATGGCAAAGCTTTTTATGATGGAAATTAATTCACTGTGATAGTCACTATACTAATATCTTAGTGATACTACATTAGTACCCATTTATTTAATACGTAGGTTACAAATATACTAAAATGTATAACAGAGTAGTAGTGGCCGATCACTCCAAACCCTGCAAGTTAAATGTATAAGCCTATGTCACTTTATAAAATATATATTTGACACAATGAAAGAAATTCTCGAATCGGTGTAGTGGTTCCGTAGTTTACTGTCCTCATAAACGTCCATAAATGTTCTCTAAATTAAATAAGAAAGCCTAAAATTGGTATGAAATATAGACTAAAAGAAACTTACCTGTCGACCGGAGGGCGACTCTGCGCGAGTCTCTGCATCAACCAAACTTGTGAGAGAGCAGGTGGGACCAGCCCGGTACCCAGTGCAGCTAACGCAGCTATCATCTGCTGGAACTGGACACACATTTCGCTGTAGCCCTGCCGTATTACAGTATTATATATGTATATAGAAGTAAGACAGCTTATTTATAAAAATACAGGAAGATTATGAGATTGTTAGTCTATTAGTTCATAGCCTGATGATAATATAACCTGATGACAAGTAGAACAGTGTGACAGTAAACAAACATTATTTAGTTAAATTGAGATTAATGAATTTGAATCAGAAATAATGAAGTCTGATGTAGTTATTAGGAATGAGTATACCACGGGTATTGTAACATATATTATGAACTGATGCTGTTGATGCGATGGTAACCACTTTCCACCAGGTGCTACCAGTGCTATTATCAAAATTGTATTTGTTCATATACAATTTTGATAATAATAACGATATTTTGACGGCCTAGGTGGTCTAGCAGCGCAGCGCCTTACTTCCGAAGGTCGTGGGTTCTATTGCTCGCACGGTACTAACATTTGTATTCATGAGTATGATTGTATCGGTCTGGGTGTTTTATATGTACATATGGATTTATAAAAAAATAAAATATTTCAGGTATATATGTCAAACTTTATTTAAATTGTTAGTGCGATATGTATTTAGCAACATTACTACAATTAATATTAGTAGGTACATTAAACATTACTTCTATATTATATAGGTATAATAAGGAGCTAACCTGAGCTATGTTCTGTGGAGTTGGGTCCTGCAATTGTAGTTGCAATAGATGTTGAAGCAAAGGTGATGTTCCTTGATTCTTCGCACCCATCGAGTTGTTGGCTTCTAACAAGCTTTGCAAGTGTTCCCAGCTCACCTGAGCGATCGCTTGTGGATTCTGCGCTTGCAGCTGCAGCTGCAATAAGTGTTGCAGTAAAGGGGGAGCAGCTCCAGGGCTCTTTGCACCCGAAACGGAGCTGCTGTCTGATTCTGAAGCAGGACTCTGCAACAACATATGCTTTGTAAAGAAAATTTAAGTGATTCCAAATGATATAACATCTAGCCAACTTAGATACAGATAGATAATTATGAAGGATAGATAACATTATCAGATTTAGGTGTTTTTAAAAAATACAAAACTATACTTTTATACCATAAAACATTCTACTCAAAATTTTATTGATGATATAATTGAGGAAATATTAATTAAAAGTTAAATTCTATATGCAAAGTAGCATTTGCATATTGATCCATGATCATACATAGCTATATTAGGATAATCATATATCAAAAATCTGGGTCACATTCTGCAGTTTAAATGGGACCATTATATTTGAATTAACTTAATTATTGTAAACAGTACTTTACAATAGTGTCTTAAGGTAAACACATAGGTTTTAAGGTAAGTAGACCTATTTATCTAAAATATTTAGTTCGTTTACGTTACCTTCATTCATTTACGTGTGCATTAACTTATCGTTCAGATTTCAATTAATCCTTAATAATTCTTATCATTGACTGGAGTTAATTAAAGTAATATTTCTATGGCATATTAATATTTATCAATTTACGACATTTATTTACGCACGTTTCGGTTTTAATTAAAAGGAGTCATAATTAAAATGACGGCGAAATATTTAATATTGAAGTTGTGTGAGCCGCAGTGAGTTCGCAACGTGACACTTTATGTTATCTAATGGAGAATGTTTGCGAATATCTTTCTGTAGTATTTTGACCTATATTATTAGTGAAATACCATGGACAAGACAGGAATATATAAAGACTACATACTCATTAAAATTGTAGAGGAAAGGGCAAAATAAAATTGACACTTTACCTTATGGTTCCGTAACTTAAGATTAGGAGAGAGAAAGAAATGTGCTACTTTACTTAACTACCTAGATATGAAGGCAAATAAAACTGATATTACTTTTAGATACTAAAATTATATTGGTTTCATGAATTTATTTTCTGCCGATTTAGACTTTGTACCAATCATCTATGTAGTAGAACAGAAGTCTCACGTATTTCAGACGCCAAACAGCTTACTCTGTAAGTTACGTTTGGGTTGAAGAGGAATAATAACTTAATCCTCAAGAATGGACTATTTTTGAGGATTAAGACATTATCCCTCAGCTTGTTTGCTATTTCCAACTTTATGAAAAATATTAATGTTGTTTAAATTTTTCACATCTATCAAAAATATAAAATATAGTCCCAAGTAGGAAAGTCTGTCAAATCCTTTGAAAATGGTACGTCACGTCAATTTCACTGCACCGTCTAGAAAGACTTTGTTATTTTGTACATTCCATACAATACTGTACAACATTTAGTCTCTTAATTGAAAACTATTTGAAGATTAACAATTCAGACTGATACTTATCTAATGACCGTTTACACCATTACAGATTACCAAATCATTTGGAAACATTACCAAACACACTATTACAACTTTGAGCGATATTTAACTTAAAAGAGAGGTTATGATACATAATAAGATCAGGTACCTATCTTCAAAGTCAATATTCAAACCAGAACTTCAAACTTCGGCATTATTAAACTTTCGTGTCAAATAAACATTATGAATATTAACTATTTTAATAATGTGTCTTAGACACGAAAGTTTAAAAATCGGGTCTTAACACGAATAATTTTATGGTAAATAATGATATTTACCTCTCTCGACGTTCCGACTACGTTGCACTACCCGTGGTCAAGAGCTGACTGCAGTACAGCTATGTCAAAGTCGGTAGGTCCCAGCAGTTTTTTCTACTACCGTCACTAGACAGTCCATCCTTTTGTTGGACTTTACCATAAAATGATTCATTAGTTAAGACCCGACAAATTACTTTACTAATATACGTTGGTATTTAGCTCCTACTTATTAGTAGCACTAAATGCACTAAAAGATCGGTAAGTATTACTAGTTATTTGTAGGTACACACCTACGTAGATAACGACAGTTTTAATATTAATAAACATATCAAAACTGATGCTATTTTATTAAACAACTTACACACGACACTAAAATCTCAGGGACAATAACGGAGAAGTGGCGGGGAGAGAGGCGATCCAAGGCGCCTTGTGTGTAGTGAAATCGATTTTAATCTAGTCACAACTCGAAATATCGAACATAATTGTAGTGTTCTGTATGGGTCGATTTGATAAAATGACGTATGACGTGTACCTCAAATATATATTTTACCTACCTAAAATTTGTACCTAAATATTAAATAAATCAAATTAAAAATGGTTTATTCGTATAGTACATTTCAGCTGCTTATGAACGTTAATTTTTTTGTAAATATTATTATTTATTTCCTACTGTCCAGTTCAGTATACAGAATATAACCATAGAATGATAAAACAAGAGTTTGACTCCTATAACTTGCCTCCTATCCAATCAATGTACCTTCATTATAAGTTGCTATTTTTCTTTATGTTCAAATGATTTCTCTATACCAATTTTCGATTACGCAAAACTTATAGGTAGCCATAGTCATTGTTCTATCGAAGGTCGATTTTGATGCGATAATTTTGCTGTCAGATCTGAAACGTATTTTCCGCTTGTTTCAGTGTCAATTGCCTTAATTAATGTTAGTCATTAACGCTATTTTATTTAATGTGCCACGTGACGTATAGGACAATGGATTTATTTTTACAATTTTTTGTATCAATTTTCCTATTGCAAAGCAAAATAATACTAATAGATAGGTACCTATAGGTGTTGACGTGCGATAAATGTACTGTATCAGTGATGTAAGATATACCTAAGTACTGCATCACTACCTATAATTCAGTTCTGAACTATAGTAGTTTGAAGATAGACATATCTACCTATGATTAATACTGATTGGCCTGTTAAGTAACAGCGTACGAATGCATGACAGCTTAGTTCTCAAGAACATCATACATTGATTTTGTGATGTCTACAGTGCAGTTCATATACCTACATAGGTAATGATTAGACAACTAATAGAAATATTTAAATAGGTAAATTTTTCATAAATACATACACTAGTGAACTATCTACTACCCTATTGATTGCTCATACTTCTAATTCATCCAATTTATTTTACTATTAGGTATATACATTTTATTATAGTTGATCTTAAAAAAATATCAATACCTAATGCTTTTTTTTTTCGAGTAGCGGATGTAAGCACGCTGCGGAACCAGCTGAGTGGAGGCCCTTTTAGCTCATAGCGCAATATTAGCTTTTAAGTTCTTTAATATTGTCCACTTTGTGTTAAGCTGTGCTATATAAATTATTTTTATCATTATTGTGTACATAGAAAATATTCAGACTGATACAAACAATCATTCTCATACAAATGTTGGTCTGCTAAAACCCCGTAATACCACCCAGGCCGGAAAATAAAAATAAAGTCTATAAGAAACGTTCCATTAGAGAAAGCACTCTAATGTAATGTTTCGTATGGACTTTTTTAAGTGGGTTGGTAACTATAATAGTAATAAAACTAAAACACTGATGGTAGGTAAGTAGTCACCATGGTCAAGGTTATTCCATGATTAGATCTACAGGTTTGTTACGTCGTCCTATGTCGCAGTTCTGGAGAACTAAGTTGACCTATGCAAAGTTCACATTTCAAACCAAAATACAGTTTACAATTCACAAAGCAGGATCTAGTCCCAAGCTAAGCAGAACTTGTGTTATGGGTACTAGACAACTTATATAACTAGTTAAATACATTTGTTTTGTAAATACATACATAATATACAGAAAACTCCCCGTAATCGAAGCTGTAACCATTGGAAGTAAAGCGGTTTCAAAAACCGTTTGATCAACGAGACCGTCAATTGAAGTAACATGGCGTCCGAAATATGTGAGACAGATTTTTTTTATACCACGATGGTGGTAATCAGGCGTATGGTTCATCTCAGATGAACTCTGATGGTAAACGGTTACCGTAGCCTACGTACGCCTGAAATACCAGGGATGTCACATTCGCGGTGCCGACCTCTACGAAACCTTAATACCTTCTTGACTCTACCTTCTTGAAAACACCAAGCTGTAGTCTCTCAAAAAAATCTCGGTGAGTACTTCATTCCAGAATGAAAGTGTATGTGGGAGGAAGCTCCTCTAAAACCACACTGTCTGAGACTAGATAGGTTCCAAACTGTGGGAATGTTGCGATGAAAATGTAGCTCTAGGCATCATTTCGAACAATGATGAGATACCTAAAACGATTCTGTCACAAAATTCTTTGTATCTAGGCATTTAGGGTAATATAAAAAATTTGACGAACACAAATTACTAATGGCTTATAGATCATGGCCGAATAAACAACTAGGGTTATAAAATAATACCGTACTGGTAAGTGCGAATGCGCAAAACTGTTTTACGTAGCAAGCGTTGGTTGGTGTACCTACAACTAGTTTGGCTCACCTTGGCGTTTTGCTAATCATGTCCACCTTGAATACTAACTAACGGATTGTTTAGCCATCGTATGATGCACATATCTATACGACGTGTATTAATACTTGCCTACTTACATAAAATATTAGGTTGCCGCCATCTTGGTGTTTTGTTTCCTTTTCCTTGATTTGATTGATATATTGTTTTCTTAAGGTGATTAGGTAATTGTTTTTGCTTGGCAGTAAGATTGAATTTTTTGCTGTGTTTTTATCAACTAGTAGGTATACATGTAGGCTACCTACTTTATGAGGAATAAGAATATATGCTGATTACCAATATCTATATAAGATTACAATAAACAAATCTACACATCTTTGTTAGATACAAATAGTTACTATTTCTTTTTAATACAGCCAAATGTGTTAAAGTAGTGTAAGTGGGTGACGGTCAACAATCATCTAATCTTCTTTTGAATAAAAAACCATGTAGGTTTTTGGAATAACCTCAATAAAAATTCTATGTCTAGTTTCGAGTTGCTATGGGATTTTTATTTATTGGTAAATATAACATAAACTGAAATATTTACTGGCCTTAATAAATATAGAGAAGAATATTCACAGTTC